AAATGTACTGCCACTCCAGGTGCAGTATAACAAATGTACTGGTACTGCAGGTGCAGTATAACAAATGTACTGGTACTGCAGGTGCAGTATAACAAATGTACTGTCACTTTGAGATATACTGCACAAAAAAGAACATTTAAAAGTGTTGATGCATCAGCAATTTTACATATATGTTTGCAATGAAGGTTTATTGATATGATATATACCCGGTATATTTCTAAAATACATCTTTTGTTCAAAGTTTGCATTTATTTGTATTCATTGTGTACTGGTTTTGACTGTAGTTCATAATGTGATAGTTTTTAATTCTGACAGAAAAATTGCTCTGACCAATCATATTGATGTACTTTATCATGTAACACCACAGTAAAACCACACTATGTCTTGTACTGATAAATATACCTTTGACAACATTGTCGGCGAATGTTCTTACAGACTGCAATGATGATAGATCCAACTGCCTCACAAAAACATTCTTATTATCAGTGCTTTGTCTGATTTCCTCAGCTGCTTGTTCACCTTTATTAGTATCTCTACATGCTAAGATGACACGGCCTCCTATAAGATCATAAATGAAACTTACATAAATTCAAATTATATTTAATCATGTGAAGACAGATTTGCAAAGAGTAAAATTACCTCTTGCAGCCAAATCCTTTGCTGTTTCTTTTCCAATACCAGTATTTGCTCCTGTTATGATGACTGTCTTACCATCTATTCTTGCCTGACCTGAATATCTTGCTCCACTGTAATAATCTCTTATTTATAAAAAAAAAATAAATAACAACAAAAACGGAGTTATCTAAACAGACATGGGAGGAGATGAATTTGAATCACTTGTTTAGTGGTCAGAATTTATGTTCAAATACTTTCGTTTTAGAAGTCTGAATGTCAGTGGGATGTTAATTAAATTTAATCAAAACAAAAAACAATATCAGAGCAAACAAGGTCAGAAAAAAGTTAGGGATACAAAACAAAATGTCTGGTAGTAGTCATATTTGTTGCCATAGCCATGACTAAAAGGAATCAGTTTACTATGATGGCATGTAGAATTTTTAAGACAAACATTGAAACCAGAATTTTATTGAGACTAAAAATAAATTGGCATGAACATGCAACAATTACTCATGCCTTTATACCAAAGGGAATACCAGAGGTCACAGAATTGCTTGATGATACATTAACTCAGAAATTGTTTTGGTTCAAAATTGTGTGATAATTGTTGATCTAGACGCATACCAAACTTTTTACCCAGTATGAAATTCAAAAATAGGAATTCATGTGAATACATTATTTCAGAATAAATATATAAGAGACCTTTTTAATTTAGAAACCATTTTTTAGTGATATTTCATTATTTGGTTCATTTTTTTTTTTGCAAAAAGTAGTTTTATGACCATATATTTTTATCTGGATCCAGTAAAATTCAAGAAAACCTGCCATTGCGAGAAAAAACCCTTGGGTAATTTACATCACTGTTTTTTCATACATTTCTATACATGAACAGTACCATATTGCTCAATTAATCAAACGTAAACAAGATATTGTGACAATGTATCCATATCCCAAGACTAAGAGGTGCCACAATTTCACAACATCCTAGCACATTTCATTATCATTTCAGAGATAGCAGAATGCAAATGCACTCAGCAAAATAAGTATT